GTTAAAATGTCAGCTGTTTTAAATACTGCATGATGTCCTCACAGGCGTAAGGTTGTGTAGTAAGACGACTGTGATGTTTCCTTTTGAAAAGCTTTTATTCAGTGTTGCAAAACCTAAAAACATTTTATTCATGTCTTTCCAGACAGGTATAAGAATCTTCCAACGGCTTCCAGAAAACTACAATTCCTGGGCCTACAGAAGGAGTTAGTTGATGATTTCAGGATACGATTGACTCAAGTAATGAAGGAAGAGACTAGAGCTTCCTTAGGCTTCCGATACTGTGCAATTCTTAATGCTGTTAACTATATAGCAACAGTGTTGGCAGACTGGGCTGACAATGTAGTAAGTAATTATTTTACTTAAAAAAAACCAAAACAAACTGGACTTTGGATGTTTGTTTCGTAACAAAGATTTTCTTTTCAGCACTGTTTATCTAAGTGTATTCAGAAGTACTAATTACTGAAAACAGAATGAGATGTAAGTTCAGATTTAATAAAAGATGTATAAATAAGGACAGATTATTGTTTGAGATCTAAGGTGTATTAATTATAAACTTCCTAGGGAAAAGCAAAAAGAGCCTGGGAATTGAATAATCTGAACAGCCAAAAAAGTAGTCTCCTTTCCATGCTTTGTGTTGTAAAACAATTAATGAGTTGATTATGGAGATCTCTGAGCCAGTATCGAGAGCATCGATGCTGAAGCGTGTGCCATAGTAGCCTATGCACGATGCTTGGACTACTCCCATGGCAGGTTAGCTTAAATGGAGTTGGCATGGGTGTCTGCATTGCAGCACCGCTTAGGTGTTGCTCAGAAAAGCCACTCGCTGGTGACTGGGAATTGGGAATGAGGTTTTTTGCTATGTAATAGCCTGGTGGCAGCATGGCTATGCTGTAGCGCTTCACCTTTTCTGTGGTTATTGGTACAAAAGGTCAAAAAACCCTGTTACATGTAAAGTGTGTAGAAACAGGTATTGTGTGAGAGGTGGGCAGCCTCCAAATTCTTTTTGTCTTCACAGGGAACTGTGGCTGTAGCAGAGGGTAATCTTGATAGGACAGCAGCCTTGGTGTCGTATAGCTGCGTCTACCTAAGTGTCTTGATCTGCTTGAAAGCAAAGCCAACACGTTGTTACTACTATGTCACATTAAATTCGACCCATTTTCTTGCCATTGTCAGCCCAGCAAATTTATGATTTAATGAATGATTATTTCTAAAACAAATTACAATTAAAGATTCTAGTTTACTTTTGCAAACATTTAAAAAGGTCAATATCATTTTGTTTTTTTTTTTTAAGCATTCTGCTGTTGGTCTTAAAACATCTTTTTAGTATATCTCTACATCTGTTCCCATTACCTATCTGCTGTTGTATCTGAAACCCACATCAGTTCCATCACTAGGATGAAACCACCGTGTTTTGTTTTTCACTAAGTCAGAACCGTGGGGAAGGATAAGGAAGTGTTTTTAAAATCTTAAAGTTTTAAGTTTATAAATAAATGTGCCAGTAGTGTGTTTTCTGGAACTGTGCCTATTAAAGCACCAATGAAAAGTTCAAATGGTAAGATTATTTTTTGCAGTATTCATGTCTAGTTTTGTTTCTCTAGTTCTTCCTGCAGCTCCAGCAGGCCGAACTGGAGGTTCGTGCAGAAAGTAACGCTGCCAGTAAACTGCAGCTGGGGCAGCTGGCTTCGATGGAGAGTTCTGTCTTTGACGAAATGATTAACCTCCTGGAACGCCTGAAACATGACATGCTGACTCGTCAAGTGGATCATGTCTTCAGAGAGGTCAAAGATGCTGCAAAGCTGTACAAAAAAGAGAGGTGATTCCGTCTGTTTACTCTCTTCCCATGTTACAATGTTACTTCCTGTTAAAATATTGAGGTAAATAAAGGAATAGCTAATAGGCAAAATTATTTTCCTGAATAAGAATGGCGCAGGGTAGTCAGTTTGGACAATTCTCTTTAATGCTTACTTCAAGACTATTTTAATGCTATGCTTTCTAAAGCAGTTCCACAATTAGTGGGCGTGTTACCTTAAAAACCCTAGGAAGAATTCTGGATCACTCTACTTTGGGCAAGGATTATTTTCTACATAGTGGTATTAAAAGAGTCAATATGAAATGCCCTGTAATGACTGCTCTGTCTTCGCAGACTTGTAGGGCTTCTTGAATGTTTGTCCGAGTAGGATTTCTGAATCACTTCATAAAAGGAATACAACTCAGTGATTTTCTAGATTAGATGGAGTTTCTTTGAATGGCATGCTCTGAGATTTATAACCAAAGCATGAGTTTAATATTAAATGAAACTTAAACATAGCATTAGACTGTGATTACTTTTAGATTTGAAATGGGAAAGGAGAACTCTCTCTGAACCATTGTAAATGAATAAGATTTTTTTTTTCTTAAACGGATAATTTTAACTCCAGTTGTAAGATAAATAATTTCATTATAATGACTTCAGTGCAATAATTTCTTTCAGGTGGTTGTCTTTACCATCGCAAGCAGAGCAAGCAGTGATGTCTTTATCGAGCACAGCTTGCCCAATGTTGTTGACCCTACGAGACCGCTTGCTACAACTAGAACAGCAGCTCTGTCACTCACTGTTCAAAATTTTCTGGCAAATGCTTGCAGAGAAAGTGGATATATACATCTATCAGGAAGTAGGTATCAGCAAAACATGACCTGTGCCATACGGTGTAGGTGTGAGTGGCTGGCCTAAATGGTGGATGCGCCTCTCTGTGTTTGTAGATCATTATGGCAAATCATTTCAATGAAGGAGGAGCAGCACAACTCCAGTTTGACATGAGCAGAAATCTCTTCCCTTTATTTTCACACTACTGCAAGAGGCCAGAAAACTACTTCAAGCAGTAAGTAGGCAAACTTCCGATCTATTGGTATTCCAACAGTGAACGTCCCGATGAATACATGTGTCTTGTGTATCTCCAATATTTTTTCACAGTTAATTTCGATCCACACTTAAAATATGTGGATCATTTATGCTTCCAGTGTTTACAACTAGGAAAGTTTTGATTCTGCTGCCGGTACTCGGTCAGGGACAGACCGTGGCGTGTGTTCCACAGTGTTTTGTGCAGTCAGGATGTCTGGACAAATTAACTTATGGAAGGAATGCAAGTAGCACAGACTTCCACAACTGGGGCCAAAGAAGCTACTCAAGGGTACAGTTACAACAGAGTAAAATTTCTTCATTGTTAGCAGACAGACTACCTTAGACTATGTTCCCGCTCAGAATTGCCTTGCATAGCAGTCTTATTGCATTCATGGATGAGAAGAGGCTGCCACCTTTGTGGTTAGTCTTCTCTAAATAGCTCACAGTCTTCTAGAGTCTGGCGCTAAACTCCTAGGCTAATCGGGGCAGAAATCTTAGTATTTTTAAATCGGTATGGAGCATGGCATTCAGGCTTGAACACCCAAAGACAAAGATTATATATTGGCATATTTTAATTGGAATATTCAGGTAGCACCTTCAGGTTTAAGGGGTTTTATTTAAGCACATCACCTTCATAAAGGTAAGTGATACATACATATTTTTCCCAGCGTAAGAGGACATGGCATAAAAAATAATGTATAATGGGTACATCTATTGTATTAATACTAGAAGCAATGTGACAAAGCCAGGGTATCTGTATGTTCCCTGATGATCTTAATTAGGGAAAATGTTCAGATTCTAGCAGCTGTTTGTTAAACTGTGCTTTAAAATATGCTGAATAAGAAGTTTCTAATTAGCTTAGGGGGAAACATAATTAGGGAAAGCTAGACAGATTAAGTGGTAAATTCTATTCTGTGTTTTTAATACTGGTGGAAAAACTGAAGAAGCAAAAGCCACGCCGAGCACTGGGGGCAAAATACCGATGCTTATGAACTACACACGTAACAGAAAAGGCCTGGGCAGTGAGAACAGTTTGCCTTGATCTAAGCAGTCCTTTTCAGTCCACTACTTCTGATCCTTTTCACAAGTCCATGGAGGTTTTTTCATTAATCACTGTGTGCACAAAACTAAGTGTATCTATCTCGTGGGTGCTTCTCGTATTAATCCATGTAGCTTTCTCCTCTAGCATAAAAGAAGCCTGCATTATCCTGAACCTGAATATTGGCTCTGCCTTGCTTCTGAAGGATGTACTACAGTCAGCTTCAGAAACTGAAACAATGTTAAAGCCACACCAGCCATCTGCAACAGCAGCACTAAATGAACTTGGAGTTTATAAGTTAGCTCAGAAGGATGTCGAGATTCTTCTCAATTTGAGAGCAAGTTGGCCAAATGCAGGAAAATAAAGACTTCTGCAGAAACAGTTAATAACTTGGTCTAGATTACTTATTTCAACAAAGGCAAAGCAAGTGTGTTGTAATATACCTGGGTTATTTTTTCAATGCCATATGCTGAACTGGTTTAATCTAATCTGATGCCTTATTGGATAGTTTTAAAAAATAATTCAAAATGCTACTGACTTGATTTTGAACTGCGTAGATCTTATTTTCCATAGCCACCTTGCCGTTGCATTGAGAAGCCAAAACTGTCTTCGTCTCTAGTGAGTGTCTGCCGCACCAATGCTGAGTGCTGTAACGTTGTTGTAAGGAATAGAGAGTATTTACAGTGCAAATGCACCCGTATCCAGGATGGAAAACTCTTCCCTATGTCCACCTTCACTTACAAAACAAGATGTTTCACACCTGTAAATCCCAGGTAACAGATGTTCTGTATTAGGTGTGGATATACAAAACACAGAAGGAAGGAATGAGGGAATGTGTCACTTTGCTTTCTTTATTCATACTCATTCAATTTTTTTTTCTTTGTTTTACCCGTCTTTCCTTTTTTTTCTGTAAAAATTGCATAAATACTGTGTTGTAAGTTTGAAAATAGCATTCTATGTGGAAGTGCTACCTTTCTTTAACTGTGGGCACTTGTCATAACTTGGATGAAGTTGGCCTTTCCTTTAAAAAAAAAAAACAAACCAAAAAAACCCAGCACAAGCCCAAAAAACAACTTAAACAGCAGCTCAACTCTTAATTTTATTCCATGGTAATAAGCCAACAATTAATAACCCCTTACTGTAAGCTACGCCATGAAGGGGGAAACTCCAAAACACTATTTTAGTTGCATAAAAGAGCGCTCTACTTTTTTTAACCATCTAATTGTATTAAAAAAAGCCATTTTCAAAGGATAACCCTTCCTGGGCCTGGTAAACATGAACAAGTTCTTGTCATTTGTCCTTTTCAGCGATTGCTCAAATGGGGTGAGGGAAATGAGAGAGTACTGCCTAAAGTCAGCTATCCACGGCTGAGAACCCAGAAGGATTGAGCAAGGTGCCTCTTTTTAATACATATAGCAGACCACTGCTCAAACTAATACACAGCCCAGCTCTCCAGCATCTTTTTCTTCCTAAGACAGAAAAAAAAGAATTCGTTAGATAAGGAGGACAATTAGTTCCAGTTACCCTTCCGCGATTGCAGCAGTTACCAGAAAATTGCCCCTAGAACCATACCTTGACCCTGAGAAATTATTACAACTCTGAGCTTGCTTCACCTACAGCTGCATTACTACCTTTGGCAAAGACGACAGCGCTGCTTCGCCATTTCACCTTTCTAGATCGTTGTTTGAACCCCTGGGCTACCTGATGGCCGCCTGTCTGATGTGAGGGGCCGGTAATCCCAGGGGTCTGCTCTGGGAGGCTCCTGGAACCCAGATGGGGAGGAAAAGGCAGAGTTTGGTTCCGGTTACAGCAAGCCAAGTAAGGTCGGGCAGCAACTGACCTTTCTACATCTTGCAATGCAAAGTAAAGGGGTTAAACTGAAACCAGCAAGTCCTTTAATTTATAGTTTTGTAAATAAAAAATGAATCTCAGTAAAATATCTCCTGTGCAGATCTCCCCCTCCCCCCCAATTAAACTTACACTTCTTCCTTGAATACATCAAGTGTGATAATCGCATCCTCTCCAAACTGCACATCTTCAGTGCTCAGTCCCAAAGTTTTAAGAGCTAAAGGAAAGAGAATTTCCTATGCAATTCTTGCAAAGATAAATTTAACATCTTAAAGTGGCCTAGATATAATAAAAGGTAAGCATATGTAACTTAAAAGTACGTAACTTTTTAAACTTTCCAAGTTCCAGGCTGTGTATTGGCAGCTGCACAGCTACTTTGAAAGTGCACACACGCGTAGCTTTGAAACTATTTTAATAATAATTCCGTGCAAACAGATGCGGCCGCTTCAGCGCGAGCTGCTGCCCGGGTGGGACGCACCTTCTCTGTACTGCCCGGGCGTTATGTGGCCTTGCCCTAGGACATCCAGCAACTGGAACATGGCGACCAGGTTGGCCTCGTCCATGAGGTAAGGGTACTCCCCCTCGGCTCGCTTCCCTGCCTTCACCCTCTCCAGCGCCTGGATCAGGAACTCGCGCGGCCTTTCTGCAAGGAA